TTTTTTTTTTTTTTGCTTGCTGTGCTGGTTCCTCTGCCGCACCTGCTGTTACCCCTGCCTCTGCCTATGCCTCTGCTGCTGCACGTTCCTCTCCTCCTCTGTTTTGATACTCCTAGCACGCGGTGGGCAAGAGATACGGGCGGCGAGGGGGAGCACACACCACTGAAGTGAAGTGCTCCTGTTGCCCGTTATTTCTTGTCGTTTAAATACGGTGGTGGTAGTGGTGGTGGGGAGTAGGTGGAGGGGCCGTGCGGCATGTGCGCCGTCCGCCACCTGCGCGTTGTGGCGCCTTTGCGTCCACCCGTCATGTTCGCCGCGGCCTGCGCATTCTATTCGACGCTGCGACGCCTTCATCAGTCGAATTCGGAGGGCAGTGCCGGTGGTCCATGCGACCACAGCAAGCTGCAGCAGCAGCAGCAGCAGCCGGCGGCAATGCCACCCGCAGGTGCCTCGTGTGCGGGGAGCCGCAGCAGCATGAGTGGTCTGCTGCACATGATCGCGCAACGGAAGGAGACAGGGAGGAAAAATAAGAAGGAGGCGCCTCCCGCTAAAAATGGCTGCACAGTTGTGGCGGAGCTCTTTACTTCTGCTGCGCAGCGGCACCCGAGGTCGCCGCGTCGTCACGGCGTCGCGGCACCACGCACAGATGCCGAAGCAAGTCGTCCTGCTGCTTCGCCGCCGCCGCCGGTGGGTGCGAGAGTTGTTTCGCCGACACTTGTGGAAAAACTGCGACAGAAAGTGCTGTGTAAACAGCTTGATTGGCAGCAGATGCTTGGCCAGCAGCCCTTACTGCAGCGGCTGCCTGTGTGGCGGCAGCGGTCGGTATGGAGCACGCGCTTCCTCTCCTCATCGGCTCTGCCCTTGTCAGGAGGCGGTGACAGCAGTGGCGCGACGGAAGTATTTGTGTGCAGTGCGCCGACGGGCACCGGGAAGAGTAGCCTTGTGCCGCTGTTCCTGCTGGACAGCCACTGGAGACGGCTGCTGCAGCGCATCGACGCCACACACGGGCCGCAGGATGGCGGCCGTCGCGCAAGCGAGTCGCCGCCGCCGCCGATGTTGCTGCTCCCC